TCGAACCCAGGGCCTCAGGCATGCAAGGCAAGCGCTCTACCACTGAGCCACCTTCCCAGCCCTATTTCCAAGATTATTGCAGAGATCAAGGAACAACATATTTCAAAAATGACTTCCTCTAGACATAGTATATTTGGATGAACAAGTTGAGCTCCAAACATGACAAATATTTGTCCAAAACAGATGGTTAGTTAGTCAATGGCTAAACTAGAATTTAAATTCATGACAGTCTGCCCTTTGTGACCAGGACTGATGTTTACAGCCGAGAACCTATAGTAAGCTCTTGACATTTCAGTAAAAATGTGTCTCAGTTGACCTGTGGTTTGCTTCTGATGCTTCTACTATACAGCTAATTTCCTGGCTTGAATTTGCTTGAATTTCAGCCTATTTACTTGACTTCCTTCTGTGTACTCGTCTGCTAGCATTGACAGAATAAAACAGCACACATGCTTGTGGGAGAGAAGTTTCCTTTCTCACAGTGCTGGAGGCTAGGAAGTCTAAGATCAGGATGCCACCAAGGTGGGATTTGTTCTGAGATCTCTTTCCAAGTCACCATCTTGCTGTGTATTCATGTGGCCCTTCTCTGTATCCACACAGACACAGAACAAACTCTCTGTTGCCTTTTATTACAAGTACACTGATCTTTTTGGACAGGACTCTACCCTCTGACCTCCTTTAAGCTTAATCACTTCTATGTAGGGCTTGACTCCAAGTCCTGTCACATTGGAGATTAAGGCTTCAATGTGTGGGTTGGGGCAGGAACACAATTCAATCTATAGTATTGTGTCACATATCCTTCCCCCATCCCTCATGAGCCATTCCATTCAAAACTGTTTCGAATAGGAGGTCTGGGGGTGAATATGTAAGTATACTAAGAACCTAATCATGAGGTTATATGTTTTAGGCTCCTTTTTCTTGGTCATCCGTTAGCCAAATCCAAACAATATGTCTGAAGCCCAAGTTCAGATCAGTGTGTTAAATGGTCATATGAAGGGTGAGTTTCAGGACTGAAGAGTTTAACTGAGATAGGTAAGAGGATTCATTCAGAGAAAAAAAAAACCAACAGGAAGAAATTTTCTTTGCAGGTGAACAGAAACAGGGAAGCTCTTAAACATAGAGCAACTTGAGCCTACTAGGATCTTATTCCAATGCACCAGAACAATTCTGTACTGTTTTGAAATCAGCCACTGACATTTATTCTGGTATTTCCAGGGGGCAATTATATAAAATAACACATTTTTGAGGAAAATTAGTGTGTGTGTGTGTGTGTGTGTGTGTGTGTGTGTGTGTGTGTGTGTGTGTGTGTACACTAGAACTGCAGCTTAAACTCAGGGCCTAGCTGCTCCACTAGCCTTTTTCACTCAACACTGGTACTCTACCACTTGAGCCACACCTTCACTTCCGGCTCTTTGCTAGTTAATTGCAGATAAAAGTCTCATGGACTTTTCCTGTACTAGCTGGCTTTGAACTTCAATGTTCAGACTCAGGCTCCTGAGGAGCAAGGATTTACAGAGTAAGCCATCAGCACCATCTAAAAATTGTTTGTTTAGACAGATAAAAGGAAAACAAAATTTGTCAAAGTATATAGTGAAATATCCAGATTTAATGAGCCTCCAATAAAATGAATGTAATACAGCTTTATTTCTCTGGTACCAAGAGTTTGTCCATTCAGCAGTGATTTTTAAATCAACCAGCTGCTTATCCCAATTACACAGAAACTTTGGAGTGCTTCGGCTTTTTTTGTAAGATAATGGCCTTCACACCCTTGAAGAAATGACAACAGCTGTTTTCTTTGCTAAGTGAGGCTCCAAATAGTTCTCACCTATATCTCAAAGAAATGTATACAATAAATTATAAAATAACACATGAACAATACAGGCTTCCAGAAAAAATCCAACTTATTTCCCTTCCCCTGAGCCCATTTGATCTAAGTGTCTGATTTTTTTTTCAGATTTTAAAATATGTATTTACTTATAGGTAGCTGGACAAATACTTTTATAATCATATTATGCTATTTTATTCTCAACACTTACTTGCTACAAAGTTTAAATAAACATTGATGCACAAAAATCCCACATGGTCCTTCCTTAAACACACTGCTTCTTTGGGTAGCCAGTTTCACAGGACAGAAGCTTGTATCATGAGAGCAGTGTGCTCAGGTTGTTAAGGAATGAGGGGCAGAACAGCTTCTTTGGAGAAGGGGTAGGAGGGTACAAGATAGAACTCTTTAGAAGGCTGAGTAGAAAGTTGCCATGTAAATAGGGAGGGTATGCATTAATCAGTAAAAAGCCAGAAGTGTAGGTATAGTTCAAATGGTAGAACACTATGATTTGATCAGAAAAGCCCAGTGAGAGCTTGAGGCTCTGAGTTCAAGCCCCAGTGTGCATGCATACGTACGCACATGCACACACAGACACAGACACACACATACACACACACAGGATAACAAGCCAAATTGAACAGAGGAAATATTTTATTCTGGAATCTTGCAAATGTAAAAGTGATTGACAAAAATCCTCAAGAACAATCCCTGTGTCAGGCCAGGGGCTGGTCTATTAAAAACAATGAAGATGGGTTTTGGAGCACCTATTTTCTTACAGCATCTAAAGTAAAGATGACTGAGACCCACTGATTCCAACGGACAGGTTCTGGCTTTGAGTGGTGTGACAACTGCCTTTCATATGGTTTGACCCTTCTCTTCTAGAACCTGGAAAGTCTTCCTCTAGTATGATTTGGGCTTCATGAGAGTTTGAATGCCAAGGTACACTTTGCTTTGTAACTTTACAGACCAGTCAAAACTGTTGATGAGACATTTTCAGTGAGAAGAGGACAGGGAAGAAGATGGATACAGTCTCTTCTCTTTCCCTTTCCAGCGTTGATTGTGTTCCTTTTTCTTTTCCTGTTCTAACCAGTTGCATTTGCTCTCACGCCCATAGGAAATCTTCCAGATCCCCTTAACCAATGGAGATAGCTTATCATTTCTATTCTTGAGTATAAGACTGGTTACATATGCCTCCTGCCCACTTGCCACCATTCTGCGGGGTCATTCCTTTCTCAGAACCAGACACTTCATATGTATAATCACCATAAAATCTAGGCAATATTGGCTGTGGAATCTACCTTTAATAACATCAGGGAATAGATGAACTCTCTCTCCCTTGGGCCTACTTTGCCTTCATAGTCACATTTCAGATGATGTCATTCAATCAAAACACGTTGCTTTTTACTCTTGAGGCAGTTTATGTTACAGTATGTGTATTCAAGTGACCGTGGATGTGTTCTGTTTGTCTCTGTTCTGACATGTACACTCTACAAGGTAGAGACTACTGTATGCCCTAACGCCTAGGAGGACTGTCATACAAGACCTGCTCAATAAATATTTACTGAGTAAATGCAAGAATTTCTAGATAATAAGAAATATTTTTTAGTTTTATTTTTTGTGCTGGCACTGGGATTCTGGACGAGCCCTCATCTGTTGTAAGGTGAACTATCCCAGAAGCCACATTTTGATAGATGGAATTTTGGAGTCTTTATTACACAGTTAGCAGGCCACAGACAGCCAGTTGTTATAAAGGCCTGCAGCCCCCAAAAACACATAACACGGTTAGGAAAAAGGCCAGATTGGAAAGAAAGAACAAAAACAATACCAACAGACCAATTCAGCTCTCAGTTGGGATGCCATGACCACTGAAGACGAGCCAGGAGACAGGAGACAGGACATGATCACAGAGACACATATATGGTGTCCTGGCACCTATGCTGTTCCAGGCCTAAATAGGATCAGGGTAGGGGGCAGGGTCACAGGACATTTCCAGCCCCAGGCACTGAACTGACAGGTTCAGCAACCTATCAGCCAAGTGTCCACCCCTGTCTCCAGGGATACAGACACACCATTCATCTGAGAAGGGTCATGCTCCCGACCCCTACCATGATGACTAGATGCCAGACCTTAAATGGATATACTCTGGTACCAGCAGAACTTTTCCATCCAGGGAAGATAGGCCTTAACCTTCTATATGCTTAGGTTACTCAGAGGCTGGTGATTCAAACCATTTAGGGAGCTAATCAGTGCAGAATCAGAGCTTCAGCTTTCCAAAGGCTATGACATCTGCATTTCTCTAAAGCAGAGCCCTCCTAGCTCACCCCAATGAGCCAGGCATCTGCACTTCAAAGGATGTCTTGTCTCATATCTAGGCTTTGGAGCTGGGTGAACAGCCCCCATCTCCTGCCTAGGCACCAGAATGTCTGCAAGAAATTATGTAGGCTCAGCTACCTTACTTCAGGATTAGGGCTTGGACTCAGGGCTTGATTCTTTTCCATAGCTTTGTTGCTCAAGGCTGTTACTCTACCACCAAAGCTACAGCTCCACTTCCAGTTTTTATGCTGGCTAATTGGAGGCAAGAATCGTACAGACTTTTCCTGCCCAGACCAGCTTCCAACCATAATCCTCAACCCTTAACCGCCTAAGTAGGTAGGATTATGCTGTGAATCACTACCGCTGGCTTGGTTTTGTGTCTTTTTAATCTTTGTCTCTACCACAGCATCTTTACATTGAAAATAGATTTTTTTTTAAAGATTTTTTTATTTAGATTTTATTTCCTAAAAATTTATGGCAACTGCCTTTAAAAGATGAAAATTCAGACATGCTTAACCCCACCATTGCTACAGCCATTTTCATTTCCAAATTGTCTGATTATGTCACGGGTTTTCCTTGGTATGTAAAAGACAATTGAGCTGTCCCTCAGTGTCCTAGAGGGGAGGGTTAGTTGTAGGATCCTTATGAGTACCACTGTTTTTTTCTATTGATAAAATGATGAGATGAAATAGTGGTACTCATAAGTTTTAGGATTCACTAGGTGTTATATTTGCTAAGCAATTAAATTGTTATTCTATACAAAAATAAAGGTGTTCTTTCCACCTGTACTATTGGGATCATTGGGAGATATTTTATATTTTACAATCAAGCATTCATTTCTCTCTGGGTTTGACCTGTTTTTCAGGGAGGTTCCCTTGAAGGATGCCAAGGAATATGCTGAATCCATAGGTGCTATTGTGGTTGAAACAAGTGCAAAGAATGCTATTAATATTGAGGAGCTCTTTCAAGGAATCAGTAAGTACTTGCAATTGTGTTTCCTCTTACCTTGCATTTTTAGGCTTCAAGGAGACAAAGGATAAGAGTATAGAGCTCAGGAAGTAGAACTTATCCACTGTGTAAATTTATCTGTTGCCACACATAAACTTCCAACTCTGCATGCACCTCTCTTATGCCTTTCCATTCCAAATTTCCATAATTCTATGCCTTAATCTGCTTTTTCTGGTTTATATTAATCTATAAACTCATTTTAATCAATGAACTAATGATGTTGTAAAAATAAATTTTATTTATTTATGCCAATCCTGAGGCTTGAACTCAAGGCCTGGGCGCTGTCCCTCAGCTCTTCAGCTCAAGGCTAGCACTCTACCACTTGAGCCACAGTGCCACTTCCAGCTTTTTCTGCTTATGTGGTGTTGAGGAATCAAACCCAGGGTCTCAAGCAGGCAAGGCAAGAACTCTACCACAGAGCTACCTTCCCAGCCGCTACAATTTATTTTTATAATTAGATTTAGTTGTATTTATAATTAAAATCAAGTTCTATAGCATTTTGTGTATGTTGAGAGGAGAGGAGATGAAATAGGCAATGATATAATATAGAAATACAAAGTCATCCATTAAGCTGAATAACTCTAGACAAACAGGTAATAAGGAAGCTGGATGACCACACACACTCACACAAAGTCTTCCTCTCATATGACCTGAAATTGGAAAATGGGTAATCTGTTACATATGGATTCCTTTCCTCATTTCTGATAAACTGATTCCTGAAAGGGGACAACTGTGTGTGCCCAGTTCTGTATCATGTCATGCCTCACTTTCTTTCTTTCTTTCTTTTTTGTTGTCGGTTGTGGGGATTGAACTCTGGGCTTGGGTGCTGTCCCTGTGCTCTTTAGCTCAAGGCAAGTACTCTACTACTTGAGCCACAGCGCCACTTCCGGTTTTCTAGTGGTTTATTGGAGATAAGAGTCTCAGGGACTTTCCTGTCCAGGCTGGCTTTGAACTGTGATTCTCAGATCTCAGCCTCCTTAGAAGCTAGGATTACAGATGTGAGCCTCCGGTACCCAACTTCACGCCTCACTTTCTTTACCATGGTTTCTCATGAATGACCCCATCAATGATGCTTCCCACTAATGGCCATACTAGCACAATGGTCTGCATCTGTGAGACTTCATAAGTGGATCATGACACTCTGTTCTGGCTCCTGCCAGAGAAGTACCTGCTGAAGGCTGTCAGGGGAAATGGCTCTCAATTTCCAACACACATCAGAGTGGTCCTCAAAGAGCTTAAGAGGAGTTCCTATATTTGGTGAGATGCTGGCATTACATGTTCTGGGGGCCCCTCACTAGTTAGCAGTTGTCCTCATACATCTTTGTGTCTGACATTTCTAGAAGGGACACTGATAGCTTGGCTCTTGCCTCTGCTTGAGGTCATAGTTGGCTGATCTCTCTGAGGCCAGAACAGATCTGATTTTTGCTATACTAGTTTAGGTCAATTATTCGGGGTGGGGGGGCATTGTTTATATTTATTTATGTTGACCTCATGGACAATTCAGTGGAGATAGGTGTTCTGGTCTATGTAACTTCTGTTCAAAAGAAATATGCAAAGGAATGCTCTAGAGCTTTTCTTCACAGCATGGGCCTGTAACCACAGGGACTTAATTCTGTTCCTTCCTTCTTCCTTCACAAGTATGGTTTCCTAATGTTATATAACACCTGCAACCGAAAGATGTCCTCAAACTCTACCTGGGTGGTTATGTTATATGGCGAGAAAACAGAGAAGCCACATTTTGAAAGGTCAATCTGGGAGTCTTTATTAAAAGGCAGATGGATCTGCAGATGGATTCCTGTCTTAAAGATCTGTAGCCTCGAACAGAGCTTTTAAGGACAAAAAGACCACATACTTGAGGTGGGGGCTAAGCAAAAGCAGACCTTATTAGGACATACTCAGGAACAAGCTCAGGTACCAGCAGAACTTTTCCATCTAGGGAAGATAGCCTCTACCTGCCCTATAGGGGAAATCTTAAGCCATTTAGGGAGTTACTAAAGGCAGAATCAGAATACTCTATGCAAATCTTTCCTAAGGCTATGACATCTGCATCTCTGAAGCTGGGCTCTCCAAGCTCACCTGGAGTTAGGCATCTGCATTCAGTGAATGGCCTGTCTTATCTCTTTTTCTGCACTGGGTGGAAAACTTCCACCCAGCAAGAAGTACCAGGATGGCTGTAAGAAGTTACTTAGACTCAGCCTCCTTACTGCAGATCTTTAGCTTGCTAAGGCTTCAACACATTGTTGTTGATCCCACGTGCTCACTCTTCAGCTGCTTCTGGGATGAATGGGCTGGGGAAGCAGATGTTGTTAGTACTAAAGTAACTTCTTACAATCATCCTGGTGCCACTTGCTGTGTGGAGGGAATTCTCCACCCAGTGTTGAAAGCCTAGAGGTGATGCCTAGCTCAAAGTGAGCTAGGAGGGGTTCGCTTCAAAGCAATGCAGATGTCATAGCCTTAGGAAAGCTTTGCATAGGGAATGCTCTGATTCTGCCGTAACTCCCTAAATGGCTTGAATTGCCTACCTCTGAGTAGCCTATATGGAAGGTTGTGATGGTAAAGTTCTGCTGGTACCTGAATATATCTATACAGGGTCTGGCATCCTGCCTTCATAGTGAGAGAAGGTGAAGCCCCCCACCTCCCAGGTGATGGGTGTTCCTAAATCCCTGGAGACAGGGGAGAGTACTTGGAGAATAGGCTACTAAAGCTGTCAGTCCACTACTTGGGATGGGGAGTTTCCTGTGACTCTACCCCCTGAGCTGACTGTATCTAGGCCCAGACCAGTTCAGGCACCATTACATCATGTCGCCTGTCTGCCGTGTTCCTATCATGTCTCCCGTCTCCTGGTTCTTTTCTGGTTACCATGGCTTCCCAGTTCAGCTTCCCAGGAGCTGAACTGGTTTGTTGGTATTGTTTTTGTTTCTTTCTTCTCTGGCCTTCATGGCTCAGTTTCCTAACAGTGTTAAGTGTGTTTGCTGGCTGCTGGTCTCTGAGACAGGAGTCCACTATGGAGTTGCCAGCCTTTTAATAGACTCCAAGATTCGCCCTCTCAAAAATGTGGTTTCTCTATTTTCTCACCTTACAACAGTACCAGTGTCACTCCTGAGGTAGCTCAGGTTCTGCCTGAGTTCATTATGTTAGACTTGAATTTGAGACCCCCGAGCAACCCCCAGAGACCACGACCAATGCAAACAGCAAAAGAGTCGTTTATTTGCAAGATCGATCCTAGACTCACAATCATCACCGACATGTTCAGTAGGGTTCTTATAGGGTTTCTAGCAAATAGGAGGGGGTTGAAGGGTTGTGGGCTTCTACATAATTGGTCAGCAATTGGTCAGCATTTCGCGGGCTGATTCGGGGTAAGGTCATTGGTTAGGGGCATAATCATTTCCAGTTAAGGGTAGGAGCTTTCCAACTTAGTAGTTACAAGATTGGTTAAATCATACATAGCAAGCAGATCATTGGTTGGGATACATAAGACTAACCATAGGAATGCAGGAAACAATATATTTATAGGAAACAATATATTTTTTAACTTTTTATGACCCTACAGGTGCTTTTTCTAGGAACTTGACCCACCTGTCCATTTTCCAGTAACTGGAGTTGTGTTTCTCAACCCTTTGCCTAATGGCAGCTGCTAGGGGATATAATTGCAGTTTCAATTGTGGGTTTTCCGAGAACCGTCCAAGAACTGGTTTTCCCAATAACTGTTTGTCCCTTAAGTGGCTAACTTGTGTTCTCCCTCAACAATTAATTATATGACCCTGTATTTTAGAGAAAATTCATTCTGTTCTTTTTTATACTAGTACTGAGACTTGAATTCATGGCTTAGGTACTGTACTTTGGCTTCTTTGCTCAAGACTGATACTACCACTTGAGTCATCATATCACTTCCTGCTTTTGTTGGTTAATTGTAGATAAAAGTCTTAATGGACTTTTCAAAGTCCTGCTTGGACTGGCTTTAAACTCTGACCTCAGATCTTAGTCTTCTGAGCTGCTAGGATTACAAGGGTGAGCCAACTGCACTTGGTACTAAATTGATTCTTATCTGGTGTTATTAGGCCTTTCTAGTAGAGTCAGCTATTAAGCCTTTTGTTTCTACAGGTAGTTTTTGTTGTTGTTGGTTGGTTGGTTTTTTCTTTTTTTTTTTTTCTTTTGGGGAGGGGGGGTTTGGCCAGCCCTGGGGCTTGAACTCAGGGCCTGGGTACTATTCCTGAACTTCTTTTGCTCAAGGCTAGCACTCTACTACTTGAGCCACAGCACCACTTCTGGCTTTTCTGCTTATGTGGTATTGAGGAATTGAACCCAGCGCTTCATGCATGCTAGGCAAGCACTCTACCACTAAGCCACATTCCCAGTCCTCTACAGATAGTTTTAATTAACAATCCAGTACTGTTGCATTAGTGTCTCTTGTTTGTATAGTTCCTTGTAGTCTGTAAAGCCCATTCTCCAGCATGAACTCTGGCTCCAACAGAAGACTGACAGAAAAGGTTACCAAGGGAGCTCAGTGCTTTGTGTGCCTTTAATTCACCATAAGATTTCCCTGAAATAGATGAAAGTTTATTATTAAGATTTAAAAAAATTACAGCCAGGGGCCAGTGGTCATGCCTGTGATCCTAGATGCTCAGGGAGCACATATTAAAAGGATGGATTTCAGTTAAGGCAAGCTGGGGGTGGGGGGAGTTTCTTTTTTATTTTTGGGTCCGGTTGCGGGGGCCTGAACTCTGGGCCTGGGTGCTGTCCCTCAGCTCTTCAGCTCAAGGCTAGCACTCTATCACTTGAGCCACAGCGCCACTTCCAGCTTTTTTCTTTTTGCTTATGTGGTGCTGGGGAATCGAACCCAGGGCCTCATGTATGCAAGGCAAGCGCTCTACCACTTAGCTAGTTTTTGAGACTCCATCTCAACCAATAACTTGATACAGAGGTATGTCCTGGTCATTTCAACTACATTGAAGTAGCTGAGGATTTCA